CTCCCCTTCCTCCTCCTCCTCCTCCTCCTCCTCCTCCTCCTCCTCCTCCTCCTACCCCCCCTCGCCGTAGCCGCCGAGGGAGAGCAGGCCGTGCCCCCGCGGCACCCCCCTCTTGCCCCGGCGGCCCGCGCGCGCCGCCCGCGCAGGAGGCCATCTGGCAGCCGGAGGAGTTCAAGGCCGCCTCCGGCGTCGTGGTGAAGGACCGATCACGACGAGACGGATTTTTGTCCGATGTTTGGCCGGTGGCGGCCCTCGCCCGGGCTCTGAGCCGTCAGGCATGAGACGAGCCCGTCAAGCGGTCCAGACCTCTGCGGAGCCACGCCGCGGAGCAATCGCGACGGAGGATGTCTGGGGGGAGGCCCGGACTTGAAGGCGAAAAGAGTGTGCCAACAGCAGTCTTCGGAGGCCCGCGCGGACTTCTGGGATCGGAGCTGGCCGCCCCTCCCTGGCGCGCTCCGCGAGTCCGGCGTCGTGGTGAATGACGGCCAGGCGGCGGAGGGGGAGGGGGAGGGGAGCGTCGTTCGCCTGCAAGTGGGAGTCGACCTCTTGGGGATCAGGAAAAAGCAAGCTCAAATCGTAGGATTTCCCTTGTTCGGGGCCGCATTTGCCTCAACAAGTACCCCTTTTCTGATTCCCCGGCAATGCCCGTGGAAGTTCACTACTGGGGCCAGTATTTCTCTCCAGCGTTTGTTTCCTTAGTTTGCCCTTCGCTGGTTCTGGCCCCCAGAAGCCTGACCCCCAAAAGAAGGCGAATGGGAGCGATCCAGGACCTCCTCGCGCCGTGAACAACAGTTGCGGCGGCAGGTGCACGGTGAGGATCTTTTGCTGCGCGTGTCGTTCCGCCGGTTCTGGCCCACGGCGCTTCGACGCGACACGTTGTCCTTGTCCCCGTCCCACAGGCAGCGTCCCGAGCTTTTCCCAGCCTCCCGCCCCGCGGAGCGGAGCGACACGCCATTCGCTCGCAAGGCACAACTAGCGTGTCGCCAGGGCCGCCGCCGCGACGCGCGAAGAGTTCCTCGCCGTACTGCCGACGAGGGGGATGGCGAGGAGGCCGACAAGGAAGACGACGGCGAAGAACGACGACGAAGACGACGACGACGACGACGACGACGACGACGACGACGACGACGACGACGACGACGACGACAACCACGACGGCGGCGGCGGCGGCGACTCGCGAAGCAAAAGTTCCCGACCGCAGGCCCTAGGCATCCCTGCCGCGCATCCCCATGGCCCCGGCGCGCCGCGCCCCGCGCACCGAGCGGAGCGCGGATCGCCAGGGTGGCCCGGCGAGGAGCCAGCGCAGGATCGGCCGCCGAAGGCCTCCTGGGGCAGCTGAGGACCCAGACCCCCCCTGTGTGTGTGTGTTTTTTTCCCACAGCTGAGGACCCAGACCCCCCCGTATGCTTTGTTGTGTGTTGCGTGTGTTTTTTCCCACAGCGTGTGTGTGTGTGTGTGTGTGTGTGCTTGTTTTTCCCACAGAGCCGAGGCAACAAACAAAATGCGACTGCGGGGTGCTCCCCGCTGTCGGCCTCTGGAGGCCCTCGCCCTGCCGCGGGGCCGTGGAGCCGAGCCTCTGCTCGGGGCGACGCGCGGGCCCCGGGAAGTAGTGGGCCCCGGGGCTCCGAGGGCGTCGACGCCACGAGGACTGTCCCGGCGTCGGGGGCCCGGGGGGGCCCCGCGCCCTGGCCCGAGAGGAGCCACAGCGGGCACTCCAACACAGCGAGGGCCCGCGCGGAGACCTCGGCTCGGCGGTGGGGCCCCCCCGGCGGCGCCCCCCACGGGGGCCACGGGAGGCCACGACGACAGGACGACGACGACGACGGCGACGACGACGACGACGACGACGACGGCGACGACGGCGACGACGACGACGACGACGACGACGGCGACGACGACGACGACGGCGACGACGGCGACGGCGACGACGGCGTGGGTGGAGGGGGGGTCCAGCACCGATCCATGAGGTCAGCGCGGACCTCCTGCGGCCGCGCTCGTGCTGCAAGCTCCGAGGCGGGGATCGGCCTTCGGGGACCTCGGCAGGCGGTGGGGATGGGGATGTCCTCGGGCCCCTCGGGGGGGAAATATTGGATTCTCCGTTGCCACCGCCTGTGGGCGTCCCTGGAGATCGATCCCTGAGGCCGCCGCGGCTCTGGAGAAGCCCCCGCCTCGCACATGCGGGGGCACGGGCGCACTCGTAGCCTGCGCCCAGGCCGTGCGCTCGGAGTTTCGTTCCTTGGGTGCCCTTTTTTTCATTCTGAAGGCCCCGATGGCCAAAACTACCATGCCTAAAGCTCGTAAGGTGTTTTCGCGCCATACCTAGAACTTCTGGCAAGTCTTTCCCCAGCCAGGCCTGGGCATCCAACTCCAGATCATCCGTTACCGAAAGAATGTTTAGTAATGCTCTGGGCGAACCGGTCGCGGCCAAAATTCTGCTCGGCCTCCGGTCGCGAATGCTGGCCGTCGACGACTTCGAATGCATCTCTTGGACCCTGACGCGCCGTCTCTTTGCTACCGAAACTCAAGTTTAAGTTCGACCCCTTCTGGTCGCGACCGAAATTTGGCGCGACCGCAATCCGTTACCGACAATTTCAAGTCGCGGGTGATGTTTGTGCGCCAGGGCCGTGCGCTCGGAGCGTCTCTCCTCGGCGGCGAGCGAGGGGGAGAAGTGAGAAGGGGCGGGCCTTCTCAGAAGGCTCGGAAGTCCCCGGGCCTTCGGAGAAGCCCCGCCGCCTTCGGAGAAGGCCTTCTCCTTCTCACTTCCCCCCCTCGCTCGCCGCCGCTTTCCCCAGCCACCTCCGGGCATCCACTGCCCTGAGAGCAGCAAGCCTGGCTTGTCTCTCCGTTTCCGGCCTCGCGGGGACAGTCCTCGGGGCCTGGGGCTGTCGCCATGGTGGAAACGGGTCCTGAGGGAAACGGGTCCTGAGGTTGGACGCCGTTCTCGGGCTCTCGGGGCCCTCCACGGGCACCGGGGCTGTCAGACAAACGGGCTGTCAGACAAAAGAATTAGGATGAAGATCTTGTCCTTACCAGCCTGGAACATATCCCTATCCCTGTGCTGGGCACCTCCTCATCACGATGCCAATCTTGGGGATTCCCTTATGTTTTTTGAGGGCGAATCCCTAAGTCATCGCCTTTTGGCGTGTCAATCTTAGGGATAGCGATACGTTCGAGGCTGGTAATGTCCTGGACGACGGCCCTCTGGATCCATGACCCCTGGCCCTCGGGACCCGTTCCCCCCAAGCTGTCAAAGGACGAGTCGGGTTGAGTCGCTGGCCGTGCGAAAAGGGCTGGGTCTTTGAGTGCCTATGTTGAATCGGACGTTGACAGAACGCCCCCCCCAGACAAGTGGACTGCGGAAATCTGCACCAGTTCAGTCTACACTGGGATTCAAGTGTTCCGCTGGAGTCTTCAGTCAGCACAGGACAGGACAAGGCCGCGCCTAGACAGCGCATCAGCAGATGATTCGGCAAATTGTGAAGTTTACATTTGAAATGGCGTGCAAAAGTATGTAATATAGAAGCTGCAGTGCCTCGGAGAGGTCGGTGTAGTCTGTGCATCAACGAAGTGCGAGGGAAACCTGCTCGGCTTTGCAGAGAGAGGCGGAGGGAGGGAGGGAGGGGCCCGGGAATGATACAAATCGAGGGGGAAATGTATGATCGAAGCCGTCCCAAACAGACAGCAGGAGGCACAGAAGGCGAACACATTTACAATGTTTGTGTGTACTGATCGACTGCAGCTTCCCACTGTGGGGAGTGCAAGAGTCGAGGCATACGTTTTCTGCCTCGGGATGTTGATGTCTCAGCAACAATGTTAAGAAAGTGATGAGGTTGCAGTACTCTGCCACGATCGCTCCATATACATCGGAAATCCGCCAGCCCTTTGGGGTCGAGTACAACATGGTCAAGGTGCTCAACATTGCCGGGCACTGCAGTGTCCATGGATGGGTCCCAATGTTGTTGAATTGATTCGATTGTTCTTTGACGTCGATCTATCCCGCTGGGCTGCACTCAGAATGCGTTGCCGTGCGCACGTGGAGTATCCCTGGCAGCTTTCACTAAAGGGCGTTTTGCTAAAAGGGGGTTCTGCCCACTCCCGATTGCACTGAAGATACGCCTGTGGATATCCATGGTGGGGCCCGCTGCATGCCTTCCTTTGCGGCTTGCGGCTGTTGTTGCCCTCTTTCTCACCGTTCTCCTCTTCCTCATCGTGCACAAGCGCTGCACATCATCATCATCATCATCATCATCATCATCATCATCATCATCATCATCATCATCATCATCATCATCATCATCATCATCATCATCATCATCGTCATCGTCATCGTCATCGTCATCGTCATCATCATCGTCATCATCATCAGCAGCAGCAGCAGCAGCATCAGCATCATCATTAGCATCATAATCAGCATCATCAGCACCATCATCATCATCATCAGCATCATCAGTATCATCATCAGCATTCTTCTCCCCATCATCATTATCATCATCATCAGCAGCATCATCATCATCTATCCCGATTTGAACGCGTGGCCCCTCCAGGCTACATCGCCAGTCCCTCTTTTGTGAACGCATACATGGCCTGGATCTGGCACTCACGATACACGCTTGTAGAGAAGACTTGTCGCTATTCCCCTTTCTGCCCCTCCTTGGGTACCTCCTCTCCTCTCCCCTCGTCCTTGCTACTCCTCCCCCTCTCTCTCTCTTCCATCTGATTAATCCAGCCTCTCCCTTCTTCCCCACCCAACAGGTTGGATTCTAAAGGGAAGGGACTCTCGACATCCTCCCTTTTCAGCGTCCCTGGTCGTTGTCCGCCTCTCTAAGATTCCTCCCTTCCCTCTTTTCATGCTCTTCCCGTCCTCGGTGTACCTCTCCTCTTCTTCCCCATTTCCATTGGCCTTCCTCCCCTCCTCCTCCGCCGACCTATGCCCTCCTCATTCTCCTCCTCCTCCTCCTTCCCTTCCTCCATCGTCCATATTCTCCTCCTCCTCCTCCTCCTCCTCCTCCTCCTCCTCCATCGTCCGCTCCTCCTCCTCCTCCTCCTCCTCCTCCTCCTCCTCCTCCTCCTCCTCCTCTTCCTCCTCCTCCTCCTCCTCCTCCTCCTCCTCCTCATCCTTCCCTCCTCCTCCTGCTTGTCGTCAATTCTGCTCCCCTTCTCATCGTCCTCCACTCGCCCTTCACCCACCGCCTTTCCTCCCACATCTCCTTTCTCCTACTCTTGTTTTCTGCTCTATCATCCTGTTGCTGCTGCTACTGCTCCTCCTCCTCCTCCTCCTCCTCCTCATCCTCATCCTCATCCCTCTCCTCCTACACGTGCCCTCCATTCTCCTTCCCTCCTCCTACCCCTTCTCCAGCCTCTTTTCCTCCCCCCTCCTCCCTCCCAGACCCAGTCGCCATGTCCAGAACTCCAGAGCTCCTCCCACACCCTCTCTATTCCGCATCCTGCCCGCCTCCTTCCACTGAGGAGGAGGATAAGGCGGGGGAGGTATGGAGGAGGAGGAGGAGGAGGAGGAGGAGGAGGAGGAGGAGGAGGAGGAGGAGGAGGTGGAGGAAAGGGGGATGGATGTGAGAGGCTGAGGAGGAGGAGTGAGGGCGGGAACGAGCGGACGAGGATGAGCACTAGGGCGAGGATGAGGCGGGGGAGGAGGCGGGGAGGTGGGAGGAGGAGGAGGAGGAGGAGGAGGAGGCGGAGGAGGAGGAGGAGGAGAGAGGAAGAGGAGGAGGATGAAGAGGGAGGTGGAGGGGAGGTGAGGGGGGGGGAAGGAGCGAGAGGGACGAGGAGGCGAGGATGAACACGAGGGCGAGGGGGAGCCCTCCCTCCGCCTCCCTCCCCTCCTCGCCCCTCCCCCCCCGCCCCACCCCGAGGAGCAGGGCGACGACCGCGTGGCCCCGAGGCGCCGCCGCCGGCTTACCTCTGTTCACATGTTGTTGAACTTTGCCTCTTCGGGCTTACATCCAAGAAAGTCTTCTTGGCGTGTCGCGCCGCCTGCTCTGACCCACCACGCTTCGGCGTGGCTCGCTGAGTGCGTCCCAGTCCTCATGCCTCTGTGTCCCGAGCATTTCCCAGCCTCCTGCGGTCTCCACGGTGCAGAGCGAGACGCCGTCAGCTTCCAAGGCGTAGCGTGTCGCCGAGGCCGTCGCCGCGACACGCCAAGCAACGTTCTTGACAGTACATGATTCGGGGACTGTTGATCTGGCCCAGGCCCCCCGTGCAAGATCAGTGTTGTGCTCGGTGCGGGCGGTGATTGCGGGGTCGATAGATCCGCTATTGTAAGCCCGCGTCCATTGCCGCGGCCCCGTTACCATCACCCACTGTAAAAGGAGGTATGCACATTGCACCGCACGGTTCGGCTTTCGTGTCTAAGCACGACTTACTAGCTGCATTGTATTTGCTCCTTATTTCGCATCATTCTGCTTCGTCCCGCCTCGTCCCTCGTTTCAGCAGGACAGAAAGATGGTCATATACGGGGGTGGTTCTATCTATTGTTCGCAGGTTTCCGCCCCTTGGGGGCCTGCGACTGGCCCCGAGTTGGTGAAACATCGATTCGGGCTGGCAGCTAGTTCTGGAGAAATCCTCGGGGTCTAGGGTCTAGGATGCGTTTCCCTACGGACCCATTTCTTTCTAGGCAATCCGTCCTCATCTCCCGTTAGAGCTCCAGTCGGCGATCCGCCAACAGGTACGAGGTGATGCCTCGACAACGGGTTGGCGCTTCGGACGCGTTCCTGAATTTGCAGGCGCTGGGGGGAGGACTAGGATGAGGACGGAGAGGAGGCCACGGAAGAATACTTAGATGAGGTAGAGGAGGTGATGATGCGGATTAGGAGCAGGAGAGTGATGAGGTAGAAGATGATGAGGAAGGAGGAGGTTGAACAACGAGGAGGAATACGGACGAAGTCGAGGAATGTTGGCGGTAGAGGAGGACGGGGGAAAAAGGAAGCAGTGGATGGGGTGGAATAGGAAGGGGGAAAGGTTGAAGGCAAGGGAGATAACGAGCAGGCACGATGGCTTATGAGTAAGAGAGAGGGAGAGAAAGAGAGAGAGAGAGAGAGAGAGCGACGTCGGTCTGGCAGGAGGAGGAAGGCGAGGTGGACAAAGGAAGGAGGGAAACAAGGGTGTGGGGAGTACAAGGAAGAGCAAAAGAGCGGCGGCAAAATGACAGACACGAAGCGACGAGGCCTCGGCCATCACCCTCCTGTTTCTCTTCTTTTTCCTCCTCCTTTTCATTCCCTTGCAGTTGGGCTTGTCTTGCTCCCCCTGTCTCTCGAGGAAACTCCCCTTTCCGTTCGATGTCACGGTGTGCTTCGTGGTCAAGTTGTCTCGGACTTCGGTTCGGTGACCAGTTGGCCAGGAGGAGGAGGATGAGGAGGAGGAGGAGGAGGACGAGAAAAATGAACTCGACCCCTCACACTTGAAGTTGCCTAGGAATGTTCGGAGTGACTCATATGCGCAGGTTACGGCGTCTTCCTTGACGGCTTGCTTCTGCTGGAGTTTGGGAGCGACATGCCCTGGCTCTTGGCGAGACCTCCGTACGTGAGGAAAGGTTGTTTGGTTGAGGCCAGCGGGGGAAACATCGCCTTTCAGCCGATACCACCACCATCGGCCCAGTCTCAAGCATCGACCCCCGGAGCTGTCCTGGGGTTCCCTCTGACCCGACTCTCGAGGGGGCACTCGGCCACGGCGGCGAGAGAGCCTCCTGGAGGCTCCCAGATAGAGAGAGTGAGAGAAAGAGAGAGAGAGAGAGAGAGAGAGAGACAGACAGAGCCTGAGATCTGACACTGCAACAGAACGCGTACCATCACGAAGAGTCACGACTGGAGCCCCAGACCCCATCTTCCTCTGCATCTTCCGAGCCGGATCGATCTGTGAGGGCCCCGGGGCCCGAGACCGGGCGAGAATACCCGCCGTGGAAGCAAATGGAGCGCTCGGATCTGAGGGGCGAGGGAGGGAGGAGGGCGTGCAGATTCATCCGCAAGTGCCCCCTCCCTTCCTCCACGACTCCGCCTCGCCCTCTTCCCTCCCAGGCCCTGCGGCCCTGCCCCCCTCGCCCGCGCGGGCGCGCGCACGTCGTCCCGACACCTGGGAGGGGCGCGCGAGGAGCAGGCAGGCGGCAGGCAGCGCGAAGAGGCCGCGGCGGCAGCAGGCAACGGCCTGAGGCGCTGCGGCGCTGCTCTGCCTCAGGGGGGCCTCCGGGAGAAGCCCTCCGTCTCGCAGCGAAGCGCGCTGCTGGGACCCCCTGCCGGGCGGGCCCACGGGGGCGCCGCGCGCGGGGGCGCCGCCCGCGCGCCGCGGAGCCTCCGCGGCGCTCTGCCCCTCGCCCGCCTCCCTCCCCGCCTTTTTCCGTTTCCCTCGGCACCACCCTCCTCCTTCTTCTCCCCTCTTCTCCTCCTCCTCCTCCTCTTTCCTCCTCCGCCCCCTCCTCTCCTCCGCCTCCTCCTCCTCCTCCTTCTCCTCCTCCCCCGCCTTCCCTCCCCGTTTCCCTCGTCACCACTCTCCTCCTCCTCCTCCTCCTCCTCCTCCTCCTCCTGCTGCCCTGTCTTCCCCAGAGCTCCAACGCAGGGGGAATTGCCAAGGCGGTGCTGTCTTGCCGTGCCCGGCCTCGGGAGGCCCTCGCCAGGCCCCTGGGGCAACGAAGCATCGCTTCGGGATGAGAAGCCTTCCCTCCCTCTCGTGTTCCTTCTTCCTCCATCTCCCTCCCAATCTCCCCCTCCTCCTCCTCCTCCTCGTCCATTTCTTTTCCTTACATACACATGTATATATACATCTATATATATCTATACATACATATATATGTATGTGTGTATAGCCCCTCCGTGTCGCACTCCACCGTTTCCGATCATCGAGCTGAAGCAATTTCACGGATGGAGGGCGGGTGGTTTTCGAAATGTGGTTCCCGCCTTAGCGCCACGCACAGTCGTCGTCAAGTTTCTAAGGGTTTCACGGATGGAGGGCGAGTGTCATGTTGTTGAACGCGGTTCCCACCGTAGTGCCGTGCACACTCGTTTTGAAAGCTTTGCAAAGGCTTCATTGATGGAAAACGGTACCTCCTCAAAGTGTGGTTCTCGCCTTAGCGCCGCGCGCGTTAGTTATCAAAGCTCGCAATGATTTGTTCAAGACGTCTTAGAATTGGCTTCCCAGAAATGTTGCGGTGGTACAATGTAGGAGTTTCAAAGCGCAGCAGTCACGGTAATCCATTGTGTTGCAGTCCTTCGAAGCACGGCTCAGGATCGGCAGGAAGCAACCGTAACGCTAATTCGCGGCCTTGAAGTCCCAGGAATGGTGTTCTGGCACGGTTCATGATTTTCGCACGGTTGTTTTCCAACGGGGCTTTGCCCTCAATGGAATCATATGTTTGTAAGATTTTTGTGTAGGGAATTGGGAGGGAGGACTTGGGTTTGATGCAGTCCTCCTCCTCCTCCTGCTCCTGCTCCTCCTCCTGCTCCTCCTCCCCGTCCTCTCCCCCACCTGCCCCTCTTCCTACTGCTCCTCCTTCTCCCTCTCCGCCTCCCCCTCCGCCTCAGCCTTCTCCTCATCCTCCCCTGGCGGCGCCCGCGTTCACCCCGGAGAGCTCTCCAATGGCGGCCCGCCCGTGGACCTGGCAGACTTGTCAGGGATCCTCTTCCGCCTCACTCCTCCGTTCCCTCTACCTCCCTCCGCTCGCGCCCCTGGCAATCGGTGAACTGGCGTTAAGTCGGGCCTGCCCCTCTACAGGGGGGAATTCAAAACTAGTTGAAATATTGCCAGGGGACGATTCCTTGGCAATCGTTCACTATGTTGGAGTATGTGTTGGGCATTTGCTTGTAGAGATCTTGTCTCCCAGAATCCGCCTGTCGGGGGACAGGCCCGACCTGAGACTGGCGCCGTGCGTCGATGCTGGCAGCCTCGGGCCCCCGCTGCCGCCGCTCGGCGTCGAAGGAGCGCGCAAAGCCCCATGCGGAGGAGCTCGACCCGTCCAGCGACAGGTGCCAGGAGCTGCTGGTGAAGATCTGGCTCCCCGACACGCAGCTGAAGGACATCTCCCTCGACGTCCTGGAGGACCTCCTCCTGTCGGCAGCGTTTAACCGATCCCCATCCCCATCTCCATCCCATTCGAGACCCCCACCAAATTACCACCTCGGCTGGGGATACACCCCTCGAAACCCGAAGGGAAAGACCTATTTCCCCATCTAGGGGGGGTAAGTCGGCCAGTGGGGCCCAGACCACGCCGCTGGGGATTGGGATCGGTGAAACGATACTCCTCCTTCTCTCGTTAGGCAGAAATCGCGGCGGAAAGGTGTTGTAAGTGTTCGGCCTCCAGGAGCCCCACTGGGCCCCAGGCACGTCAAAGCTTATGCGGGGTGAAAAGCCGGCCCCTGGGCAGAAGTCGGGACCTTTGGGGGTCCCATGCTGCGAAGAAAAAACACGGCGCCGGATTCATCGAGGACTCGGAGATCGAGGATGGTGGATCTGGATCCCTGGATGCGTTCCTTTTGTTTTTGCCAGCGCAGGCCTGTGCACGGAGACCCCTGGCGACCTTCGAAGCCTTCGCGTGGACCTCCAGCGACCTTCGGAGCCTCACGGGTCCTCTGCAGAGCTTTGGAGACCTCCGGGAGGCAGAGGGCCGAGAGGCCCGGGTCGAGGATCGAGGTTTCGGTCTGCTCTGGGCCTCTTCCTGGGCCTCCTGGGGGTCCCTTGTCGCCACGGCGGGATTCCCCATCGAGGTTCTGGCCAGGCCACTTCCCGGGAAAGGTCAGGGGGGCGGCTTGGGCAGCTTGGAGAGAGAGGGGCCTCTGGCGCAATGCGGGGCCGATCGGGGGCCATGGGCCCAGGGAGGATGAGGAGGAAGAGGATGAAGAATAATGATAATCAGAAGAAGAGGAGGAGGAGCAGCAGGAGAAGGAGCAGGAGGAGGAGTAGGATCCGCTCACCGACTGGGCCCGCCACTGCTGGCGCTGTGCCCGTGCGGGCGGTGCCAAGGCGTGCAGGCCCGCGACCCCGAGCGCACCTGGGGGCGCACCCACGCGGGTGAGGGTCAACGATCGGAGGGGCATAGGCTCAGGGGGGGATGCATTGCCCCCCAATCTCCCACTCATCGCCGGCGGGGGCCCGATAGCCCCGGTTCGCCGAGGATCGCGCCGACCAGCTATCGGTGGCCCATCGCCGATCAGTGGGCGATCCGTCGCCGATTCCAGGCCGATGTGTCCGCCCTCCCGTGCCAGCCCCCCCGAATCGATGCCCCTCAGCGAAGTACGGGTTCCGCACGGACCACCAGGCTTAAGTCGGACCCGTCCCTCTACAGGAGGAATATCCAACCAAACACAGTCTAGAAATAGTCAGGGAATGTGTTTGTGTATTGTTGGCCATGTTTGGAGTATTTTGCAAGTTTGTTTTAAGATGTCGCCCAAACTCCCCCTGTAGGGGGACAGGCCCGACCTCTGCGCAACCCTGCGTGCGACCGCCTGCGAGCTCGCGCCGTCTCGGCCGCGGCCTCGCGCGGGCGTGCACACCGGAGAGGCCCGCGGGCCCCTGCGCCCGCTGCGGGACGGCGCCGCGGGCGGAGAGGGAGGAGGCCCGCTCTCGAGCAGTGGCGCGGCGTCCACGTTCGAGGATCGGGGGCGGCAAAGAGGGGGGTGATGACCTGGGGGGGTGGATATCATGGCGTGGGCCATGATATTGCCCCAGATTTCGTGGCGCCTCTTCTTACTTCATTACGTCCCTGGCCCTCCCCTTGGGCCGCGCACATGCCGCCAGCCATGATTTGCACCCCCCCTCTTGGACGCCCCCCTCTTGGCCGCTCCCGAGAAGAACCTCTTGTGGTTTGCACGAACGAGCGTTTCTGGCTGTGGTCGTCTCGATCTGATGCGTCGGCCTTACATGCTCTGAGGACATTGCTCTTACTTTCGGAGCATGTTCTGGTCTGAAAGCACTCCGTGGTAGGCATATGGGAATGTTGGGACGGCCCGTCCTTCCTGAGGGGAAAGAGCCCGAGGGAAGAGGCCATCCTCGACCGTGAGGTGCAGCGAGCAGTGCTCATGGCTGCACTTCGGCGCCACCGTGCGCTGCCCTGCACCAGGTGTTGCCCACGCCCTGGTGGCCGCGGCCAGGCGTGCTGGCGCGGCCAACGCCACCACCCAGGCCGACACAAACACCGTGTGTACATGTGTAGATATATTTATACACCTATCTATATATCTATCTCCATATCTATATATATATATATATATCTATCTATCTATCTATATATCTATCTATCTATCTATCTATCTATCTATCTATCTATCTATATATATCGATCCATCTATATATATATGTATATCTATCTATCTATATATCTATATATCTATCTATCTATATATCTATCTATCTATCTATCTATCTATCTATCTATGTCTAAATGTTTACATACGTGTGTATATATATATACGCGTACATATGCATTTCTACACATATACCTATATATATACATAAATATATACATGTATGCATATATCGATATATATATGCTTATATACATGCATATATATCCATATATATCTATATAAATATGTCTATCTATATATCGATATATATTTATATATGGCTATATCTATACATCTGTGTGTATGTATGTAAGTATGTATGTATGCATGTATGTATGTAAGTATGTATGTATGTATGTATGCATGCATGAATGTATGTATATATGGATGTATGTATGTATGTGTGTATATATGTATGTATGTATGTATGTATGTATGTATGTATGTATGTATGTATTTATGTATGTATGTATGTATGTATGTGTGTATAGGTAGGTAGGTAGGTAGGTAGGTAGGTCGGTAGGTAGGTCGGTAGGTAGGTAGGTAGGTAGGTAGGTAGGTAGGCATGCATGCATGTATGTATGTATGTATGTATGTATGTGTATGCATGTATGTATGTATGTATGTATGTATTTATGTATGTATGTATGTATGTATGTATGCATGTATGTATGTATGTATGTATGTATGTATGTATGTACTGTAGGTACTGTATGTACTGTATGTATATGGCTATGTATATACACATATATATATACAAGAGGGGAAGAAGCACACACACACAATTAGTCAGCGATTCCAAAGAAAATATGGGAAACATTGGGAAGTGGGGGGGGAAGACAAAAACCCAGAAAATATGGCGAAATATTTGGAGTTTTGTCATTTGTGTGTGTGTGTGTTCATTTGTGTGTCCCAGGGCCCCTTTCTATGTACACATTCTCGGGGGGCGCGCGAAATTCCTGGATCTGGGCCGGATCCCCCCTGGCGAGGCCTCTGGCGCCGCCCTTTTGGCGCGCTCCGCGCGGCAGGGCGGGGGGGGTCTCTGAGCGCCGCTGCGAGAAAAATCCGCTCGGACCTCCCGGAGATTATCTTTGACGTGTGCACTTTTTGTCTCGGCGAGGCCAGTGCCATGTCATCCAGGAGGGAACAGAGATGCGCGCAGGCTCAATTCATCGTCGACCCTCCAGAACAAATATAGGGAAAGATGGGGAGCGGGGGGAAGGAGAAAAAAAACCCAGAACTCCTGGGGAAATATGGGGAGTCCTGTTGTTTGTGCCTATGCATTTGCGTGTCCCAGGGCCCCTTCAATCATCTGGGCCATCCAGGAGCATCTCAGACAGCGTCGCGGAAGCAAAAGCAGGCACGAAGCCGCAACATGCATGGGAAATGGGCTCGCGAGCGGTGGCGACGTTATGCTTGTGCTCTTTCCTCTCCACATGCGGAGGCCAACGATCCACGGACCGCGCCCCGCTGGACCTGGTCGGCGCTGCGTAGCTGAGGGTGGCCTTTCGCCGGAGTGGCCCGGGCGCCTCGGACCCTAGAGGAGGCCCCCGGAATCCAGGCAGCCCGAAGCGCGAAGCCCCGCGGAAACTCCAAGATGGCACCGACAATGGAGGCCCTCCCCCAGGCCCCCAGGACGAGTGAGAGAAAGAGAGGGGGGGCCTTCGGTGCGGCCACTGCGGGGCCCCTCGATGGCTGATCGGGGGTGGGCAGGACCCCCTCCCCCTCGTTGGGGCCGGGAGCAGAGCAGGGCCCGTCGCCGTGGGGGGGGGGGGCAGCGGGTCCTGAGGGAAGCGGGTCCTGAGGGAGGGAGGGGGGGAGGGAGGGAGGAGGGAGGGAGGGAGGGAGGGAGGGAGGGAGGAGGGAGGAGGGGGGAGGGGGAGGGAGGGAGGGAGGGAGGGAGGGAGGGAGGGAGGGAGGGAGGGAGGAGGAGGAGGAGGAGGAGGAGGAGGAGGAGGAGGTTTTTCGCCGTTCTGGAGCTCACGGGGCCCTCCAAAGAGCGGTTCAGGATGGAGGCTTCATCCTGTGGGGAGGCCCTGGGGTCCAGGACCCGTTTCCTTCAGGACCCGTGTCCCCCATGCTACATAGCGCGGCCGTGATATGAGGCGCTCCGGAACGCGCTCCAGAAAGGGCCGCGCATTCGAGGATCAAAGGATTGGGCATCTCTTCCTTGGCGGAAAGCGGGGATAGTAAAACTTGGGCTCCCAAGAGATGCATCCGTTTTGGCCGAACTTCGCTTGTAAGTGTCTTATATGATGGCCTTCGGCCCATCCAGCCACTTGTCCTGGTTAATGGGTCATGCGCCTCTTGGATGTTCGTTGGGATGCCGTGGGGGTGGGGATTGGAGAGCTTCAGCCCATTAGCGGAGCGCGCTCCACTAATGGGAGCGAAACAGCCGATTTGTTTTGGTTTGGGTCCAACAAGCGGAGCGCCGCTCTGTTAAAGGGACGCAGGCGACCGTACCCTCTTGGTTCGATACAAATTAGCGGAGCGGTTCTCCGCTAATCGGGGCCTGGTGATCAACATCCGTTGGTTGGAAGTCAAATAGCGGAGCGCCGCCTTGCTAAAATGCATGCGGAAGTGTCTCTGGATCCGCGTCCCCGAAAAAAACTCCAGGAACGAGGATTGAGGCTCAACGGATTGAGCAAAGGATATGCGGACACTCCACTTCGTGCCACAAGGGCACGGTAGCGGACAAATGCCAAAGGTGGTTCATGGGGGGCTGAACGATCTCATGAATTGACGGAACCCACTTGG